ACTTCGCTAGAAGTAGGTAGTGGGGCTTCTCGGGGGTGGGGGAAAAATGGGGGGTGGGGTTGCCCGAACGCCTCGCGATCGACCAGTTGGTGACCACGGTAGTAGAGACATAAAGGGTAACAAGAAGACATTCTATAAATATATTAGAAGCAAGAGGAAGACCAAGGACATTGTACGCCCATTGCTCAGTGAAGAGGGAGAAACAATAACAGGAAACTTGGAAATGGCAGAGATGCTTAATAACTTCTTTGTTTTTGTTTTCACCAAGAAGTTTGATGATGAAGGGATGCCTAAGATAGTGAATGTTAGTGGAAATGGGTAGGTGAAGAAGATAAAATAAAAAAGAGCAAGTTAAAAGAATACTTAGGAAAAAATAGATGTCTTCAAGTCAACAGGGCCTGATGGAATGCATCCTATAATACTCAAGGAGCTGATAGAGGAAGTATCTGAGCCGGTAGCTATCATTGAAAAATCATGGAAGTTGGAAGGGATTCCAGAAGACTAGAGAAGGGCAAATATAGTGCCCATCTATAAAAAGGGAAATAAGAACAACCTAGAAAACTACAGACCAGTCAGTTTAACTTCTGTGCCAGGAAAAATAACAGAGCAAGTAATTAAGGAATTCATCTGCAAACATCTGGAAGAAAATAAGGTGATAGGTAACAGCCAGCATGGATTTGTAAAGAACAAATCATGTCAAACCAATCTGATAGCTTTCTTTGATAGGATAACAAGTCTTGCGGATAAGGGAGAAGCAGCGGACGTGATATATGTAGACTTTAATAAGGCATTTGATATGGTCTCGCACGACCTTCTTATCAATAAAGTAAGCAAATACTTTAGATGGGGTTACTATAAGGTGGGTGCGTAACTGGCTGGATAGCCGTTTTCAGAGAGTGGTTATTAACGGTTCACAATCATGCTGGAAGGGCATAACAAGTAGGGATCCTCAGGGGTCTGTTTACAGACTGGTTCTATTCAATGTCTTCATCAACTATTTAAATGATGACAGAGAGAGTGTGCTTATTAAGTTTGCAGATGATACCAAGCTGGGAGGGACTGCAAGTGCTTTGGAGAATAGGGTCAAAATTTCAAATGATTTGGACAAACTGGAGAAATGATCTGGGGTAAATAGGATGAAGTTTAATAAGGACAAATGCAAAGTACTCCACTTAGGAAGGAACAGTCCATTTCACACATACAGAATGAGAAGTGACTGTATAAGAAGGAATACTGCAGAAAGGGATCTAGGGGTCATAGTGAACCACAAGCTAAATATGAGACAACAGTGTGACACTGTTGCAAAAAAGGAAACATGATTCTGGGATGCATTAACAGGAATGTTGTGAGCAAGACACGAGAAGTCATTCTTTTGCTGTGCTCTGCATTGATTAGGCCTGGAATATTGTGTCCAGTTCTGGACACCACATTTCAAGAAAAATGTGGAGAAATTGGAGAAGATCCAGAGAAGAGCAACAAAAATTATTATAGGTCTAGAAAACATGAGCTTTGAGGGAAAGCTGAAGGAATTGGGCGTGTTTAGTTTGGAAAAGAGATGACGGAGAGGGGACATGATAGTGGTTTTCAAGTATCTATAAGGGAGTCACAGGGAGGAGGAGGAGAAAATTGTTCTCCTTAGCCTCTGAGGATAGAAGAAGCAACGGGCTTAAACTGCAGCAAGGGAGGTTTAGGTTGGAAATACTTCCAATAAATCAGGGTGGTTAAACACTGGAATAAATTGCCTAGAGAGGTTGTGGAATCTCCATCACTGGAGATATTTAAGAACAGGTTATACAGACATCTATTAAGAATGATCTAAATAATGTTTAGTCCTGTCGTGAGGACCGGAAACTAGACTTGATCTCTCAAAGTTCCTTCCAGTTCTAGTATGCTATGATTAATCCCCCAGTCAGTGTTCTTGAAAGAGTGCCAGAGAAAGAGTACATCTTTCAGAAGAACATTCCTGTCCCACAATTTGACAACCTTGTGCATGTGAGCAAGTTTCACCAGAATTAAGTTTACCATCCCATCATTGTGTATATTTTATTTCCTTCTTTATGACTTGATCATACCATATTTACACTCCCTTATATGCAACTATAACAATTCCACTCCATCCCAGTTAGAAACAATTAGCAATACAATTATTGTGCTGCTTTCTCAGCACAGTCTTCACAAAGTGCTTCGTAATGGCTATTAAGGAAATGTTTCTATGGGTACTTTTATGGCCCCCATCGCCATCTTATCTATCTTCTCTGTTTATTAATTGAATGTATTCCTTCAGTACCTTTAAGGACCTTAAAGAAAAGGGTGAGAGCAATGATCATCCCCATTTTGCAGAAGGGAGCTGAGGTACAGAGAGAGTAATTGACTTGCTGATGGTCAAACAGGAAATCTGAGCACATTAGGAGGCAAGAGTTTGGTTTCCTGAACCCTGGTTCAGTGTTGTATGCATAAGACCGTCAGACCCTCCTCTCTGTTTCTCCTTTTCTTGTTTCTACTTCCGAACTTTAGTTCAGGATATTTGCCAAGCTCCAACAAGAAAGAAAGGGGAAAAAAATAAATAAAACTTCAGCCTTCATCTGAAAATAAGCAAATGAGACCTGAACTACTGCAAAAAAAAATCCTGTAGTTTTCATGAAAATGTTAAGTTTTTGAACTCCAAGGGAAGAAGTAAGATAGAAAAGAAACTTCATTATGAGGAAGGAGCAGAACATTTTCTAGTAGTTAATGTGGCAGCATGGGTTATTCTTGCCTCAGGCTTCAGATTGGTGGGTTAAAGGCCTTACTACACATTTTAAGTGTTTAGTCAAATGAAAGATATGTAAATGCATAAGAAGTTGCAGGTGTTCGTTTCATAATACTTCCTGTTGTATTTTCTGTTGTAGCTGTCGAAACTGGAACATGATTTTGGTTAATCTATAAAGGCAAATATTGGAACTAGTGTATTAAAAGAAAACTGCTAAAAATAAAAAAAAAAATGCAGGTGGCTTTCCCCAGAATTAAAGCTGTCTGAAACTGCTATGACATTTCTGACTCTCATAATGAAGAACATAATTGTGAGGACTTTGTTTTGTTTTTTAGATCAGAGAGATATTGTCACATCTTGACATGGACCAGCTGTTGGGGCCTGAATGGGACCTTTACCTTATGACTATCATCGCCTTGCTTCTAGGAACAGTTATAGCTTACAGACAGAGGCAACATCAGGCTATTCCCAGACCTGCAGGGCTGCGGCCAGCTATGCCTCAACAAGAACCTCCACCAGAACCTCAGCCACCACAATAGCAGTAACAGGAATCTCAGTGAAAAGAACTACATTGTCCAGCAGAAACTATTTTCATTGTGATTTAGGACAACAGATCAATGGTCCTTTCCCCCTCAAAAGAGGCTCAAAGAAGCATACAATTCTGAAAGCTGCTTAGAATGATGCCTTTTTTTCAGGGATATGTAACTTTTTCTAGACTGATTTGAATGTTATTTCAGTGCCAATGGAATAACACACTGGCTTTTTTTGTGAAACACAAGTGTGCTACTACAAAAGTGATGCCTGCTATATCCAATCTCTCTTTATTCAACGTTCTTTTTCATCATCTCTTAAAGTGCATGGAAAACATTGACTCATAGGAGATGGCCTATGTAGAAAGAGAAAATGTTGGAAAACTGAAAACCTGAACTTTGCTCTTTTGAACAAAGAGATCCTCCAGAACTGTGGGAGAATTTGTTTTCCTGATCTGCATCCCAAGTGGTCCTACAGATCTTATTTTAATTATTCTTAATAATAGTTTCACAGTTCACATAATCTCATTATTTACCTTAGATGGTTTAATCTGGATGTTCCATTGAGAAGAAACAAAAACAAAAGCAAAATCTGTAACTAGTTAGCAAATTTCTTGTTCTCTGTGATTTGCACTTTTGGGGGTTTGTCTTTTCCTTTTAACATACATTTTTGCTAATGGCCAATCTCTGTTCCAGAAGGTGGATAGGAATAGATTGCATTTGTAAATAAAAGAATAATTTACCAATTCTCCACCGAACGTTCTCCACAAACATTTGGAAAAGTGATTAATATTTTCATGTAGTTTGTGTGTAAATTGTGGGAATTCTGAGCACAAGAGCAAAAAGGCAATTGGTTAGTCTTCCTGGGATTGGTTTGGTTTTTTTAATTCTTGCCTCAATAGTAATCTGAGAGAGGGACTAACTGTAGAATGCAGAAAAAAATAGTATTAAGAAAAGTCTCTGATGGGGATACAAATCCAGAAGCCTTTTCAGCTCAGTTATACATTTTCCCACTGTCTTTTATTAAAAGATGGGTCTCCTGTGTTTCTCCAGCTAGTCTTACAACTTCAGCAGTCAAGTCAGTAAGTACAATAGAAATGATGTGTATCATAAGATCTTTATACAATTAAAATCTACATATCTTGCTACATCTATAGTGGGTGTGGCATAAAATTTGCCTCTGTCTGCTGGGAACACTTAAATGAAGGGGTACAAAGAGGTGAATTCCAGCTCCCTGCTCTTGGAGCTGGATTTTCATCAGCATTGCTGCACTTCAGAGTGTAGGAGGTCCTAATGGTTTATGGTTCCTTCATGTCACTAGATCAGTGCAAAGGTGCCATACTGGGGTAGAGAATCTTTTGACCCATGAACTCAAGCTTCTTGTTTTGTAAGATTCTTGATAGTTGTTTTAACTCATCATAATCATTTGGAAGCTAAATACACAAAGTAAGTATGAAAAAGTAGCTTTTGGGGGGAAGAAGGCAAAACTGTGTACTTTTTTTTTTCTTTTCTCAGTAGCAGATATTTGTTTCCATATTAACGCTATATCCTATGGAGATACTATTTTAAAGCAAAATGAAATTTGAATGCTCAAGACTTTGATGCTTCTTCTAGATCAGACATTGTCCATCTAAAAGTTAGCTCTTTCCTTCATAAAGGCTTTTATTGAGTAGACTGGCATTTAAGTTCGAATCACCTATATGAAGAGACTTCAAAACTGTAAGAGCTTGTACGTTTTGTACATAATACATGATAAAGAGTTGAATGAATGTGCAAGGTCTCTTTGCAGTTAACTTGTTGCATTTTGGGAGAAGGGCTAAATGTTCTTTTCTGGAAGTTAATGTTTTGTGGCTGACTGCAGTATTATGAATACAGAAAAAACTTTAAGGTACTTCAAGAGTGTGAAGTCAGAATCTCACTGGGTAAGGGAGATGTTTCAAATTTGTTTCAGAGTGTATTGTATTGAATTTCTACATGGTGTAAAGCAGGCCAATAACTACATTATTTAAACAAATTATTGACCTTCCCTTTTCCCTCTGCAATATTTTACCTCTTCACTTGATTTTGTAGATCTCTATAGCTCTCCATGAAGTAGTTAACGGCTGGGTGGAACACATTTTCCAATTTACCATCACTGAATGCATTGTGTGTCTGTTTTTACTTTTGTTTTGTTTGTTTTTACAATTCTACCATTTTCTAATCTCTCTTCATCTAATACAGCTAAATTCTAACAGCTGAATCATATCTGTGTAGAAATCTATTCCCACCTAATGGTTTATAACAGCAGTCTTTTGTAGCTGGTTTCGCCCTGTGCTGAAACATTTTACATTTAAAGAAATCAATAAAAGGAAATATATAATCAAAATATTTTTTGTTTTTATAGAATTGCCTTTTGAGAAGTATAATATAAGCAATAAGGAAGTTTTTCCCCTACTGTTTAACATCGCTTAATCTTGTCAAATGGCATCCATTTGAATAAAGTGATAATAGCAGAAACTAGGTAATATGAAACATCAAACTAACTCAGGGATTAAAGAAATATTAATAGATTTTCTAGGTCAGCTCCCTACAGTATGGTTTAGTTTTTCTGATAATCTGTTACTGGTCTGCTCCAAACTTTGCAGCATATTTTTGCTTCTTAAAAAATTACTTAATAATATTTAATTCTTTTAGGTTGTTCACAGAGTTTATCGGCCAATTCTTTCAATCTCCTAAGTAAGTTGTAGTGGGTTTTTAATTTTTCTTGATAGTATTTGTTTTTTATAGAGAACCTTTTCATTTTTAGTGGCGCACCTTGTTTTTCTAGTTGTGTGCAAGAGCAGTTTGAAAGGAGATTGGGTTAAAAATAAAACTTGCATTCAGTTGCTAACTTACTGTAGTAGTTCATTCAAACTCCATTTCTAGTTCAATGTAGTTATGTTGATAAGTTGAGTATGAACCTGCCTAATTTTGAAGGCTAATGTGCAAGTTCTGACTACTTCACCACTGAAAAGTTAAGTTAACTTCAGTCAAAACAAGTGGTAATATGAGAGTGATTAAAGATCTACTGACTCTAAATTCTGCTCAATTTTCCCTCTTAATTTCTTTTCTCTCTTTCTTTATTATGGAAGCTTGAATGAGAGCAGAGTTTCTGAATGTGAACCACAGTGTGTTTTGAGTGAAATAATTTTACACACACACACACACACACACACACACACACACACACACACACCAGTGTTTTAAGTGCAAACTTTACTTATCTGATCCTCCCAGTTCTTACTTTACTGAATAGTAGAGCACCCAAATGCCATCAGTGGGAGTTCTACATCTGAACTTTGAAATTAGGAAGATGAAGATATGAGAAGAGAATTTTATGCTAGTGACCCCAGATCATTAACCTTATGTATCTGTCAACTTAATGTTGCTTGTAATTTGAAAATGAGTCTTACATTGTTGATTTTTAACTTCCAAGTTGATAATTAGGATTCTTAATTTACCTTTTCCTTGGTGATATTTTTCCAAGAGTCTGGTTACATCAGTTTTCATTGTTTGTTTGGAAATGTTGGATGCTATAGCTAATAATTTCAAGTGAGGAATAAGTAGTAGAAAAAAGGAGTTTGCTTTGATACAGATATCTTTAGACATGTTTTTTTAAAACATAAAATTGAAACTTTTTGAAGTTTTCCATCAGACTTCTGCTGTTACAATAAACTTGCTGAGGTAAAACTCAAACAGTCTGTCTGTGTGACTTCAAGAAGATTAAATGTACGATTAGAGCATTTATAGTGTTCAAAAATATTATGTAACAGTCTTGTTGCCATCAATATACAAATTATGTGTGGTGCATTGTTATTAGCGGGGGGGAAGTTCAACTTCACCAATCCTTTCCTTTTTAACTAGGAAATCATAAGCTGATATTTATGTTTTGAGTTCCAGAAAATATTCAAAAATTATACAACAATGAAAAGGCTTAGTATGATCTAAAAAATACTCCAGGTGCATATGGGCAGGCAAGGGCTACTGGCAAAAGTCCTTTTTGACTTTATCAGCTGCAGTTGTTAAGAGGGTATTGTAGGGAGTTAGTATAAATGCTGGTAAAGTGTAATATAATTGTGTAAACAAATTATGTTAATAGAAAGATGTACAGATTCATTTTTGTACTGTATCTTTAATCCTGTGAAATAAAATTACCGCCTCTGTGGTTACCTGCATGCTGTAAAGATACTGTGGTTCTGATAAAGGGTTCTAAACATAGGTTTCAAACCATATATAAATTCTTGTTTCTTTGTATTTTAACTCCAAATGCTGCCCTGAAGACACACACAGGCATTGCATCTGCTAATTCAGTGTGTTAGGGATGGTAGGACACTGGAAGTTGACAAACTTGGATTCTAATGCCAGCTCTGCACAACTCCACATACCAAAGTTATGGCCTATTGCTTAATTTCTGTGCCTCTGTATTCCATTTAAAATGGCCACTCTAATAGTCACTTACGAGAACTGCATGGGCCTGCCTTTCAGAACTACAAGCACTTGCAACCTCACTTGAATTAAGTTGGAGTTGTGACTGTCCATAATCTCCCTGAAAACTGGACCCTAGAACAGTCTTCTACCATTGATGTTTTGGCCCTAAGGATATGTATAAATGGTAATAAAAATACAGCAGCAATTCTCAGAGCCCAGGTCTACAGATGCAGGCTCGCTTTATGATTCTAAAAATAGTCGTGTAGATGTTCCGACTCAGACTTTGAAGTCCATAGAAGAAAGTGCATTTCTGACCCTGAACATCTACACCCTTAGATTTTGTTCTGAAGCACAAACTTGAGTCTGTAGCCCTGGACTCTGAGACTAACAGCTGTGGGGTATTTTTGGCATGTATACAGACAGGCATTGTACTGTATGGCTTCATCTTCACAGTGGCCACCTTGATTTATAGATCTGTGCTAACCAAACCCAGTGGAATGTTAGCTAAAGAAATGTTGCTGTCTGGTTGTGGGCATGGTAATTCAACTTTCACCTTGGTTGCCAATTAAAGTCTTTCCTATAACTTTGTTTGGATGCAGGCTGAATTTGTCAGGTCCATGGAAGCACAGCAATATGCTGGTAGCTGAGGAGAGGTAAGGCTGACAAACATGAATCTTTTTTGCTTGACTTTCATCTGGTATTAGTGTTAGTGTTTTGAGCTGTGCATCTAACACATGTCCCTCCTAGTTGGTTAAGGCCCATAATGGAGTACAGGATTTATTACTGCTGGAGACTGTTATTACTTTCAGAATCACAGCAGAGTATGATCAGTTTGGAAGGAGACTTGAATATAGTGATTACTTAATAGATTGATTGATGTTGACAGTATGGCCAGTTATCAACCAGTTTCCAATCTTTCCCTTTTTTATTTCCTTCCTAAAAAATGTGATTATAGAAGAAAATAAAAACACTCATACACATGGCCAAAAACCAACCAAACAAAAGCACCATGGCCTTTAAAATCCAGGGATTTTTTTCTTGGTGGACTTACAAAAATAGGGAAGGGAAATGTAACTTAGGAGATCCTCTCAGTAGAAGTTACAGAAGCTTTTCCCTGAAAACTACCATTTCCTGGAGTTGCTCCTTACTCTCAAGCAGAGCAAAGGTACCTATAGTTCTTTAAGGGGCTCTGCTCACATTTTAGACCATCTGAAATGGAGAGAATGGCATTAGCAGCTGAGGCAGACATAACCACTTGTTTTAAAAGCAGCCATGTGCACCTTTGTGGAAGCAGAAGGAT